GGTGGTGTTTGCTCTGCCAACTCCAGGGGCTCCAACCGCACCGGGCGCCGCAGCCCCGGCCAGGGAGAAAAGGGGGGGGCCCTCCCCGGCCAGGGAGAAAAGGGGGGGCCCTCCCCAACCTTTACCCCTAGGCTTTCCCCACAAGCCAGTACCGCCGCTGTGAGCTTTCCCTGCCTCCTCGTTACTCATGAGTAAACAGGGCAAACCTGCGAAACCTCACTCGCAATCCAAGGGTCCCTGCCAATCCTTCCCCAGGGAGAATAAAGACCATCTGCGTGTGAATGAAAGGATCCTGGCTCAAGTGAGAGATAAACCCGACCGCACTGAAAGTCAGGAGGGCCCTTTGGGAGGCGCCCCCCCCAAGATCGCTCCAAATCCCCCCCCCACCGTCCGTCCGTCCGTCCTTCGGTCTGGAGGGGCCCCACTTGGTTGGGATGAATCCCTCCTTCCGCCAATCGCCGACGGCCTCTCACTGGCGCGCTTTTGCTGCCCTCTCGTGGCCATGACGCGGCACTGCCGCCACCTTCACGTCGTTCTTCGGACAGTTCTTCGCCCACAGACCGAGTTGCAGTTCTCTTTCGACCCGAGGACCGTTCCTGGCAGGCAGAGACGGTGTGTGTGTGTGTGTGTGTGTCTCTCTCTCTCTCTCTCCCAACCGAGAGAGGCGGGCTTTCGGTTGGCAAAGGCGCTCTGCTCCAGCCCTGGAGCTTTGCAGGATCCCAGTGCCCAGGCACAGAGGTGCATGGGGACACATCCACTGTCCTGCTGCTTGAGCCAGGAGGAGGCGTGCAGTGGACCCCCTTGCTGATGACGGACCCTCCCCCCCTTCAGAGACACAGGCTGGATGGACAAGACCTCTGGAGGCTTGGAATGCTTGTCTCTGAGGGATGGTGTTTTGTGTATTATATGATTTAATGTAGCAGTGCCCAGGCACAGAGGTGCATGGGGACACATCCACTGTCCTGCTGCTTGAGCCAGGAGGAGGCGTGCAGTGGACCCCCTTGCTGATGACGGACCCTCCCCCCCTTCAGAGACACAGGCTGGATGGACAAGACCTCTGGAGGCTTGGAATGCTTGTCTCTGAGGGATGGTGTTTTGTGTATTATATGATTTAATGTAGTGTAGTAGATGGTGGCGGGCCTTCCTTAGAGTATGTGGCCATCCCTGGCTGTCCAAAAACACCCCAGGTATCATTGTCCTCCTCCTCCTCCTCCTCCTCCTTTTTCTTTCTGGCATGTGTGATCACTGTGGTGGCCCAGAGAGGCAGTAGCGGGTGATGCTGAACCGAATCAGAGCATCATGAAGTTTGAAGGGGCCTATAAGGCCCCTGAGTCGAACCTCCTGTTCCATAAAGTAATACAAACCTATCTGCCAGGTGATTATCTTAAGTTTTTCTTGAATGCCTCCAGTGCTGGAGCACTCACCAACTCCCGAGGTCACCGGTCCCGCTGTTGTACTGCTCTAACAGTTAGGAAGTCTCTCCTGATATTCAAACGATATCTGGCTTCCTTGAGCCTATTGTTGCATGTTCTGCACTCTGGGATGATCGAGCCTGCCCGTCCTTTGTAGGACAGCCTTTCAAGGGTTTGAAGAAGAGTGCTATCCTATCTCCCCTCAGCCTTCTTTTCTTAAGGCTAAGCATGCCCCATTCTTTCAGTCTTTCCTCCTAGGGCTTGGGTTCCTGTCCCCTGATCATCCTTGTCACCAATTGGTCAGCATCCTTCTTGAAGTGCGGTGTGTGGAACTGGACACAGTCCTCAAAATGAGGCCTAACCAGTGCTGAAAAGAGGAGAACTAGCACCTCACAGGATTTGGAAGCTATCAATGCAGCCTAAAATAGCATTCACCTTTTTAATAGCCACATCACACTGTTGGCTCCTATTCAGCTTGTGATCTAAAATGGCTCTAATATTGTTTTCCATTGTAATACAGTACAGTATAGCTGAGCCAGGTATCCTGAACAGTATCTTGTAACTCTATGTTCCTTTTTCTGAGGTGCAGTACTTTGCACTTACCCTTGTTGAATTTCATTCTGTTGTTTGCTGTGCATCTAGATCATTTTGAATTTTGTTTCTGTCTTCCAGGGCATTAGCTATTCCACCTA